AGCGCGGCGGGGATGGGGCGCCGAGCCGGGCGGGGGCCGCGGCCTCGGCCATGTTCGCGGGGCTGCAGGACCTGGGCGTGGCCAACGGCGAGGACCTGAAGGAGACGCTGACCAACTGCACGGAGCCGCTCAAGGCCATCGAGCAGTTCCAGGTGGGCCCGGTGGGGAGCGGGCGCATGTGTTCCCGGCGGAGGAACCGGGGGCCCCGAGCCGGTGCCCCGCAGACGGACTCCGGCTGCGCTGTGGCCCGGGAGCACCCTTGCACCCGCCTCGTCGTGCACCGGCCCCCGGGGTGCTGGCCAGGCGTGGCTGTGACTGAGGTGTCCGTGGTCGCCCCCCGCCCCGGGAAGCAAAACCGACGCCCGCGCGCACGGGGGGCCCTCTGTTTCCTCAGACCGAGAACGGCGTGCTGCTGCCCTCCCTGCAGTCCGCCTTGCCCTTCTTGGACCTGCACGGGACGCCGCGGCTGGAGTTCCACCAGTCGGTGTTCGACGAGCTCCGGGACAAGCTGCTGGAGCGCGTGTCGGCCATCGCCTCAGAGGGGAAGGCCGAGGAGAGGTAGGCGGGCCGCCGAGAGGCGCAGCCCTCCCCGGAGCCGTGGGACTGACCCCCGGCCACACACCCGCCCGTGGGCACCCGTCCCCTGGTGTGTCAGCTGTTTGGGATCAGTAGGCAGCTGCTTCCCACTGGGGCCTGTGGTGCTGCTTCAGAAAGCGAGTCTTTGCAGGTACAAGAAACTGGAAGACCTCCTGGAAAAGAGCTTTTCTCTGGTGAAGATGCCGTCCCTGCAGCCCGTGGTGATGTGCGTCATGAAACACTTGCCCAAGGTAGAAACCACAGGCCAGCGAGCTCAGGGCTCTCTCTGCCCAGCGCCCGCACTTGGGGAGGTGGGGCTTGCCCTGCTCAGGGTGGCAGCTTCGCGCTGGGGAGGCTTCCTGAGCTGTCTGTCTGCCCAGACGAGGGGCACAAGCCGGGCAGAGACTGAAGCTTGGCGTGTGGATTGGGTTGTGGGACCCATGGCGGCTTGGCAAGAGCTGTTTGTATTCAGCTCGGCTGCCTGCGTCTCCCGGGCCTGGTGTCAGGCACAGGTGGGCTTGAGGTGGTCTCTGCTGGGGCGCTGAGGCCTCCTGAGCTGTCTTGAGGGCTGGCCTGTGTGGGCGTGCAGGTTCCGGAGAAGAAGCTGAAGCTGGTGATGGCCGACAAGGAGCTCTACCGGGCCTGCGCGGTGGAGGTGAAGCGGCAGATCTGGCAGGACAACCAGGCACTGTTCGGGGACGAAGTTTCCCCGCTGCTGAAGCAGTACATCCTGGAGAAGGAGAGTGCGCTTTTCAGCACGGAGCTCTCCGTGCTCCACAACTTCTTCAGTCCTTCCCCGAAGACAAGGCGCCAGGGCGAGGTGAGGCAGGGGTGCCCTGACCACCCCCTTTCCCACCCTCATGCAGGTTTCAGTTGCTCTGCTCCTGGAACGGTGGGCTTGCACATGTGGCTGGCCAGGGGGCTTTGTGATGCCGTGCCTAGTGTGGGTCTCTGCCATGCCAAGTACTTGGCACTTGGGGACTTGGCAAGCCTTCCCAGTGAAGCTCATCGTTTCTTCTTTTGGCTCAGGGAAATTGTTTTTTGTTTTTAAGATATTATTTTTAAGTACTCTCTACACTCAACGTGGGAGTCAAACTCACAACCCCAAAATCAAGAGTCATATGCTCAACTGACTGAGCCAGCCAGGC